ATTGCTTAAAAAACAAACATTAGAGTCACACCGTAAAATATCAAACCGGTAACTGTAACCCATTCCATCAGCATTATTCAACGTTTACAGGTATCAAAAACAAACATACAATGTATTACAAGGATATGTGCTACTCCAGTCCAAGGCATCTTGCGTACACTTCTGCCAATCAAATCATTATCAACGCTTACTGACATATCGACAAGAAAAACTGGAATTCAACCTTTTTTGTTCGCGTACCCCCAGATATAATTTCTCTTCAACTTTGTACCCCCAAAGTTGTTGGTGTATAATTCAAGTTATACATAGTATATAATCTACATCTAAAATAAATTAAATAAATTACATTACGGATTATTCAGTGTTTATAATAAAATAATATATATTTTTTTTAAATTTCACGTACCCCCTAAGATATCTTCGCGTACCCCAGGTTGAATACCACTGACTTACACAATACTATAATCAACGCATAAGATTTAACAGAAGCTCAACTCAGATCGAAATATATTCACATATTGTTATCATAAATGAACAAGAAATATTAAAATAGAATACCGACCCCAAAATGCCATAATCCACCTTTTTATTCCCTGTCCACAGAACAGATCATAAATGGTTAGGCCCTACGTAAAAAAATCTGAAATAAACCACGTGTAAAACATTAAAAATGTGTTATGGGTATAAATACAATGTTTCTGACTGACACTGGATTATTTCATTCCGATTCTTAAAACGCCAAACTTCAGTAGCGTTAAACAGCAAAATGATTTATAAGTGAAGATTTGCAAAATTATGGCGGAAGTAACTGCGATCTAATTCAAGGTGAGCTACCATCCAAGATTTACTTGGAGGTACTGAAGAGAACCACAACAAATCTCTATCAGATAAGTAGGTTAATGGGCAGAGACTTCATATAGGAAATCCCTGAATACGAACAGGAATTCCAACTGTGACGATAGGTATAGATTTTTACGGAGTTATCACATGTAACCCTAAATAATAAGTCTGCTAATACCGAGATAAAAACTCAGCTCATGCGTAAACCTCACAGACCACATAAAATATTTATCCTTATCTCTTTTTATTTCAGTTACATAACTCTGGTATTTAATCATAAATCATACACTGACTACATGGATGCATTAATATAAAAAAAAACCACTCTTTCGGGCATATTCCCAACCCAAGGAAATTTCTTATTCTAAATTTAAAATCCACTCAATTTCGTTACACTTAGCCTTCATTATGGATGCTACAACCTGCCTCAATAAATCACGTAAAGCGAAACCTTTGGATCACAATTCTAAAAATTACAGCATTCCTATTGTGAGTGTACTTAGTGGGTCTTCGTCTGGGAGTAAAGCAGGCCGAAACGTGAAGCTGGCCGCTCATCTCCTCCTGAACGTAGGCCACCATTTCACTTTAGGTTTACCGACAAAATATCTGTGGAATATAATCTAAATTCTACCATTATCTTAAAATACCCGCTTTATCATCTTGAGGTGAAAAAGTAGAATCGCGAAACTTGCATGTATTTTTCTAAGAACACCGGACATTTGTTTCGCTCCCTTTTTCTCGGTTTACATAAATAATTGGAAAAGGCGGAATTTATAGGAGGTGAGTGGTGACGGATGGCTGGTGCCAACTGTGGACAAGGGGTAGCTTAAACTTGAACAGCTAATTTTAACTACGTAACCTCAAAGCCTGGAGCAAACTCTGATCTCACGTTGGCTGCAAGCCGGGCTGGCATGAACAGTTTCTAACACAATGCAAAGTTATGCAGAAATAACTTACTTTCGTTATGATTTAGCGTCACTGAGAGACTAACGTTACTAATTTCCTTACTTATTAATATTAAAAGAAAAACATTAATTTAGATTATACGAGCTTTAAGACTGGAGTAGAGAGTTATAATGCCAAGTAACGTAAAATTCCACCTCATTTTCGTAAGAAATCTAACATAAATCAGAAAATTAACCACAAGGCTACCTCACTTGGTCCATGATATATTTACGATTCCATAAACAAATATCTAACATCGCTTATACATTTTTCATGGTTATCCGCAGGAACACAAGGCAAATTCGTTGTTTGGAACAAACTTGAGGGGTTTGGTCACAGCATAATAATAAATAAAACAGTACAATTGATAAAGACGCTCAGGATACAGAAATTTAACTGCCTAAGCGTACATTTTAAAACCAAGAGTAAAAATACGTCCTTTTCAATACAACACATAAAGTATCACAAAGGATATATTTAAAACATTCAAGCTTTGCTTTTAATTTAATTTCATTTGAAATTACACTGACAAACGCAAATTCCCTTTCTGGACAAATATTGAACCAATGCGGAGATGGGATATTCATCTTTTCACGTATAAAGACATGGAGTGTGGTATCAATTATTAAACTTCTATAATGTTACGGTACTTTGCAGAGTTTCTTTGAATATAAAACAACTTTTATATATTATGAAGACTGGCGCTGATGCTACATTACAGACCACGAATAAAACTCAATTAAATTGTTTCCCAAACTTCTTACAGGCACACTGCAAATAATAAGTGTCAACATATTTATCTCTCTAACATTCGTAATGTCTTCCTTAACAGTCTACTAAACTAATACGGTAAATATTTATTTGAGGCATCCAAATAAAGTATTATAATGCCTAAAATGATGTATTTTTCAGTGAATTTAAATCACAAAATCCCGACACCAGACTTATCGTCTAAGAAAACCTAAAATACTCGAGAAACAAAATATTTTATTAATGCCTACAACTTTCTCTGATAATTTCCAACTCAATCGATATTTGACTTAATCCCAAGCACTTAAAAATCTAATTTAAGGAAACCGACACGTAATATTCATTCTTAAAATTAAATATAAATATAAAAATGTATATTCTATCACTAATTTAAGAAGTACAAACAAACGTAACCACAATAATTTCAGCTGATCAACATATTCTAACCGTCTATCATCACACTACGTGCATTCAATGCTTTATAATGCCTGGAAATAAACATTGTCAAACCTTTGTAGCCACATCTTATACAAATCCTGTACAAGAATTCAGACGGTATCCCAAAGAAAACAACACTTCACCATTACAAATATAAACTGGTTAATATTGTTTTTGGAAATAATCCCTGTTTACAATGAGTATTCATACCAAACCCATAAATATAATTTGCACAGTTACTGTCAAAATGTGTGGTATATACAGTTATAACTGGGTTTTAAGGGGTTAAATAATATACGAACCGTTCGTACTTACGTTTCTCGAATGCGAGGCCCCTACAAAGATTTGCTTTATCACGTAAGATTTACAACCTTGTTCCCAAACTCTAAGCATACAGCTATAAAGAATATAAGAGATGTTGATAACTGAACTTGGAAAATTTATATTCTTCTTTTAATAACGTTTCAGGGCAGTCAGTCAACCAGTAGTGTTCACACAGAACAGCGTACGAAATGTGACACATTTGTAACATTAACACCTAACTGTTTATTGAAAGTTAATATCTGACAGTCTGTAGTAATTCCCAGAAATAACTGTAGAGGGCAGTGAGATCTCACAGCTGTGACTCACAGCGCGCTAGCGAATAGTGTTTTCGGCCATAGCGAAATCCAGTCAATACTTTAATCCCGAGTTTGACGAATAAGAATTTGTTCAAAAGAAATCAGGTGGCGTGCGGTGACGTCATGAACCGTGACTGTCCAGTTGATCAGTTTGATTTCCGAAGACATGACGATGTGTCATTACAAGATCTGATTATGTCTCCAAAGAATTGCTCAACAAAATGGCCATAATGAATTTGAGCTTAACTGAAGAAATTTCTCAATACATTCTGCGTCAGGACCTGTACACATTACGACATTTAACGCTGAAATAATGACTTTAAGAACATTCCCACGTGCCCTCATTTCGTCTGTCACTTTGCAACTGGGTACTTGAAATGATACTGTGCACCAGTGGTCATTATTTCAAGAAATACTACATTTTTAACATCATAGATGGCTCTGAAGATGACGACATTTCGTAGCAGTAAGCATTTCAAGAAGGAACAGGACCTAGTAACTGAAATTAAGAATACTGAGACGATATTGAATGAGCATACATTCGGCTGTTTAATGATGGCTGAACTCCCTTACGTTAAATTAAAATATTTTACGCGTAAATATTATTTTATCCGGTGTACCAGAAGGCGCTACAAAAGAGAGAAAGAGAAATTTTAGGGACGAAGATAATATTAATGAAAGTAGTGGCACTTTTACACCGAAAGAAATTGCTTCCATAAATGTTGTATCTCAGACCATACCGCAGAGATATGCTGAACAAGATGACTATCAGTTACCAATTAAGAAAATCAAATTTGGAAGGAAACTAGTTTTCTTACCTAACAACCTTGTTCAACGTATTTTCTTTAACTAAAAAATATTGTCTATTTCAGATTACGGTGGTGAGTAGTGAATATACATTAACGAAAACTTGTTTTTGTAGTTTTAAAAAATAAAATTGTTACTTATGGTTTTCCTAAATTATTCTCTTGTTGTACACGTAAGAAACCTGTACGTACCCAGTAATAGAATCCTAAAATATGCTAATTTGTTTATAATTACGTTGATAAAATGATAACTTGTGCAAAAAACATGATATTTACCGTACACATCACGATGTATTAAAAGTTTATAATTTATTATTAGCTGTATAATTATGTGGTACTCTACCACACTTAAGTACATCTATTTTTACCTTAAAAAGCAAAAATGTAATTCTAAATCAAATGCAAAGTCGATACTTAAATTTTACTTCATTCTCCGTGGCGTCTGGAAATAGTGACGACTTGTACGGCCACAAAAATAATTATCCAAAACATTTCGTAACGAAGAGATTGAAAACTCAAATGGAACTCTTCGTAAAACGAAGGAACAACAAATATTTTAGCGATAATTCTACATTTGATGTAACAAATCATACTTACTTACCGTTTGCCTGTCTGCACTGGTCTTATCTGCGGGTCATCGGGAGCGTAGTGTTGATACTCTGCGAAACGAAAGACAGAAAGAATCTCAGCTGAATGAAACCCATTTAACATTTTGCTTCTACAGAAGCAACTTTACACACCTCTCTAATTTTATCAATTTTCAGATACAAATCAGAAGTGTTCAGGGAAAGGAATGCAAGGTCAGCGAATAATAATCATCATGTAACAATGTTCAAATTCGATGTTTCTCATTAAAACGATAAATAATATGAGTCTATTACGCTAGTTCGTTACAAAGGGAATGTAATAACATTATCTTCATCTACTTGAAGAGTACTCGAGCTATCGACGCACGAAGGAGCGGATTTTCTTTAAAGAAAATCAGAATATCATATCAGGGCCATCTGATATCGGAATCACTTAACACTTATTTTAAGAGATAAAAGCTCAAAGCGAAAATAACAGAACAAAGATATGATTTAAATCAGATGGCTGAAATAAAGGAATTAAGAAATACTTAAATCTTAATTGGTCCTCGACGGTAAGAAAACCTCTGACGTACAATGTCTACCAAGAAGATTTCTCAAAACCCTGAAAAGAACAGAGCAAAATTTATCATAACGGACGTGAATATGTTTAATGTTAAGACGTTACAATGCGAAGGGCATGACGTTCTAAACCTCGTCGAGAATATCAAAAAATGATGGAGACAGCAAGGACCTCTAAACCGATGGTAAACATCTAACCCAGAAGACAGCTGTCTTCATTTTGAAAGTTCTTGTGTGGAAAAGAATACGTTAAGACGAGACACTGAAGAAGCTGATTTCTTAACAGAAGATATGTCGTCATACTCAATGGATCTAGAGACTTCTTTTCCCGATAAAGTGGGTCACTTCGTGATAGCCGGACAACTTCAGCATAAGAACAAAATGGCATCCAACTGGAAACGCGAGCCGTGTCGCTGTAATTGAAAGCCAATTATTTCTGAATGAACAACATAACTGCAATTTTTACAAAACTAAGAAACGATTACATGCGAACAGATTTGGCCTATTAGTAACGCAATGGCAAAATACTAAATGACAAAAATAGTAACGTAATTCGTGACGACATAAGTAGCCATCTGGGTCTGCCATCTGGTTCCTAAGTGTGAAATGAGCAACTTGTGTGAAAAGCACCCCATTCAAAACGAGGAAAAACTACTGAACTGACATCATCACATCCAGAAGCGACAACGTGACAAAATCATGTTTCGTAATGATTCTGATCTGATGATAATGTTAAGTTTCAATATCAACTGAATCTGCAAAAAAGTCCTTATAAAAATCAGAAAGATAAAAGCTGTCCCGCTACACGCCATGCAGGCACTTGGGGGGAGAGGCCGTATAGCTCCTACTCATTCTTAACTTCGTCACTAGATGGGGTGAGTAGTTAGCGTCACGCCCCGGCCGCGTTTTACCCACGGAAAAGGACCACAGTACCCAATGGAAAGGAGACTGGGTGGGCCCGAGGCTAGAGGAAAGATTCACTGCCCCAGGCGGGGATCGAATCCCTGTCATCCAGTTCTTAACCAGTCACTATACTGACCTAGCTATCCCGGCTCACACAGAAATCCTTAATAATTTCCTTTCCAATTGGTTTGAACGGAATATATTAAACTTCATATTTTAAGAAAGAGAATATAATTATTTTTTGAAGAAATGTGTATAGAAGACATGTGGTCTCGCCCATGATACTTTAATTACAGTTTCTGACAGGCAAGAGTGGCCTATACATTCTCTGGCAAATCACCATTCGTAAAAATAGAGCAGCCCATCTGAAATAAAATGAACCGTTAAACCAAACATATTCTCACCCATTTTAGACCAGCCAATACCACCGGCCAATCAACGCAAAAATTTAATTTCCGGGACACTTATTTACCACTCTTATTTCAGATTAGAGAACTGACACGATCCATTACCGACAGGGCAGGACATTTTTCTTCGCCACTAAAGTCCAGACCGGTTCTACGGGCTACGCAGATTCTAACAGGCACAGTTCCCCCCCGTCCTCTGGGGGCAACGCGTCTCAAGCGAAAAGCCAACCACTCACCCCCATCTATAACAGATGTTAATAACTTGTGGAGCTATAACTTCAAACTTCCCCATACGTGAGCACGGCAAGATGTTTACTTACGCACTCGGGGCTACTGTCATTTTAGAGACAAACAGAATCACTAAAATAAATTATGCCAAAGAAGTTTACAGTTGATTGGAATGTCCACGTACTAAAAAGCGGAAACGGTCTTAGACGACTAGACCAGTGGTATTCAACCCCCGGGGATACGCGAAGACATCTTAGGGGGTACGTAAAATTTTAAAAAAATATATTATTTTATGATAAACACTGAATAATCAGTAATTTAATTTATTTTAGATGTAGATTATATACTATGTATAACTTGAATTATACACCAAAAACTTTGGGGGTACAAAGTTGAAGAGAAATTATATCTGGGGGTACGCGAAGACATCTTAGGGGGTACGAGAAATTTAAAAAAAATATATTATTTTATGATAAACACTGAATAATCAGTAATGTAATTTATTTAATTTATTTTAGATGTAGATTGTATACTATGTATAACTTGAATTATACTCCAACAACTTTGGGGGTACAAAGTTGAAGATAAATTACATCTTGGGGTACGCGAACAAAAAAAGGTTGAATACCACTGGACAAGATCATAAGATCCCAATGGGTCAGTTAAGTAATTACTGAAATTGGATCATCAGTCATTTATTTTTACTTGGAAATCTGATTCTTGGACTAATTCACGACGCAATGCAATAGAGACCCGTGGGACATTGGCTTAAGATACAATGCCAGACTTCAAAGTAAACGTCTTGACCATAAAGTTAACACTGGCAGGTATCGAGATCATAGTCATTACTAAAGTTTATAGGAACTTCCAAAGTCACACTACTGAGACTTTCATTAAACTCTTCGTCTGAAACAAAGGAGAGAATCTACCAGATTACGCGGTGCAACACCAAGGAAGACCATCACCTCCGACGTCTTCACTGTTAAGTAAGACTACCAAGACCAGTCTGTTAACCGACACCATGATACTTAGCTGATGAAGACAATGTTTTATTTACTTAAAGCTTTAAAATAGCACGCTTACTAAATATAAGAAAGCATACATGTACATAGAACTGTCGACGGTGGTTCCAAAAACCTCGAATCAAATTTCATTGACATGAAACTTAGTCATGGATCAATCAGATAAATTACAGGTACATACTTCATTAACTTCACCCAGTCTCGTGAAACAGACCTTTTACAAGAGATGGACAAATGAACATGTCGTATGGGACAGAGAAACAGCTCAGCGCTTATGTGGGTGTTAAAACCGTAATCATTAAACATTATTTAACTAATCGTGTTGTTTTGTCTTCGAAATAAATACGTAGGCTAAGAATGTCAGTTCACAACATTCATGATCCTGAATTCAGTACCTATCCAATTAATGACATCCCACTATCAAACTTAAATTCCAAAAACACATCAATAAAGAAGTATTCATTTTGAGGTTATTAAAAATACTTCGCTACGCTGCGAGTTCTGAGTTGTCTTAACTCGCATGGGTTCCGCTGTTCGTGTTGTAACGTTGTAGGATTTTTCTTTTGTTATGTAACATGAAATGTGATGGCTACTACAGTCAATCCGAATTATGTTAAACAGGTACGTGGGAACTAACTTTTTAGACAAGTTGTGGTAATTGATAGTTTTACAGCAAGAATTCAAGCCACTGCTTCTAGCGTTATTATTATTTAGACCTCATTTCTTATATTTACTTGCTGTGCTGACTGCATCTTTGTGGTATTTAATTTTGTAAGTTTTTTCTGTTTTTATTGTTTAATGTTTTTATTTAGTATTATTGAATTTAATTATATTACTTAGGTATCGTATTTAGCCCATTTACTTGTGAAATATTATTCAATAAATGAATTCAATTATTATTATTATTATGGTACATTTATATATTTAGTTTCATTTGTTTGTTTGTTCTTGTATTTGTAATGTTTTACTTTCATTATTATTGAAATGAATTTAATTATATAAGTATTTAATCCTGGACTTTGGCTGTTGTTAAGCACTTAAATAAATTAATTGAATTATTATTATTATGGTACATTTATATATTTAGTTTCATTTGTTTGTTTGTTCTTGTATTTGTAATGTTTTACTTTCATTATTATTGAAATGAATTTAATTATATAAGTATTTAATCCTGGACTTTGGCTGTTGTTAAGCACTTAAATAAATTAATTGAATTATTATTATTATGGTACATTTATATATTTAGTTTCATTTGTTTGTTTGTTCTTGTATTTGTAATGTTTTACTTTCATTATTATTGAAATGAATTTAATTATATAAGTATTTAATCCTGGACTTTGGCTGTTGTTAAGCACTTAAATAAATTAATTGAATTATTATTATTATGGTACATTTATATATTTAGTTTCATTTGTTTGTTTGTTCTTGTATTTGTAATGTTTTACTTTCATTATTATTGAAATGAATTTAATTATATAAGTATTTAATCCTGGACTTTGGCTGTTGTTAAGCACTTAAATAAATTAATTGAATTATTATTATTATGGTACATTTATATATTTAGTTTCATTTGTTTGTTTGTTCTTGTATTTGTAATGTTTTACTTTCATTATTATTGAAATGAATTTAATTATATAAGTATTTAATCCTGGACTTTGGCTGTTGTTAAGCACTTAAATAAATTAATTGAATTATTATTATTATTATTATTATTTATATGCAGAGGTCGTAAACATTTTTGCCACAATAAAGTCCGTCTTAAAATCTAGGAAATATAGTAATATAGGATATATTTATTGTCAGTAGCGTCACCACGATAGATTTTCCACATTTAACCTCTTTGGTATTCAGCTATAAGCCAGCTGACCAATGAGAAAGCAGATCAGACCTGGCCGCTGTCGAAACTGTACTGTCTCCACAGAATAACACGTCAGTATATCGGCACAGGCACTTCGAATGAATACGTCGTTGTAC